TACTTTTGTAAAAAAAATCGAAGATTTTGAGAGGTCTCTTGAGACTGGAGGAACTGAAGCTGTGGCTTGTTATCTGATGCCTAGAACCGGCTCCGGTTGTGGCGAAATACCTGATGATTCGAACTCCATGGTTTTGTCGGGGACAGGCAGCCTTTGTGCATATATATATGTATGCATATCGAGGTCCCTTCAAGATGCAACCCCATTACATTTAACTAATTCCTGGGTACCTATTTACTGCTAGGTGAACTTACCGGTTATTCATGCCGGTGATACCTCTTGGGTGGCTTAATCTTCATCAATCAATCAATCAATGCTAGGTGAACAGTTGTATAGGTGAAAGAAAACGTGCCCAACAGTTTGTGTTCCGACCGGGATTCGAACCCGAGATTCCCTAAGGAATTGGGATGATCAAGAGGTACTAATTTTAATATTAATGTTTGCTTAACTGATATGGAGCTTCCATAGGCTACTGTGAAAGGTAAAGAAGAAATATATAGAAAATGGATAAAAACATTAGAGTATAGCATATATATGTTTTAAAGAAAATGGAATGGACCTCTATCAGTTAGAGAAAACGATTATTACCTTGGATAACTATTATATAATCTTCAATTGAAATTTAATGTAATTATTTTAAAATTTATTTTGTCGGGAAAAACAATATATATATATATATATATATATATATATATATATATATATATATATATATATATATATATATATATATATATATATATATATATATATATATATATATATATATATATATATATATATATATATATATATATATATATATATATATATATATATATATATATATATATATATATATATATATATATATATATATATATATATATATATATATATATATATATATATATATATATATATATATATATATATATATATATATATATATATATATATATATATATATATGTATATATATATATATATATATATATATATATATATATATATATATATATATATATATATATATAGGTTTTATTAATAGCCAGAACTCACTTCTCAGCTTTCGTACTATGCAAGGTAAATCAAAAATCACTTCTCCCGATTTGCCTAAAACTTATTACAAGACTTCACAAATACACAACTGAAGAACTTTTTCTGAATATTACATTTGAGTGATAGGGTGATGTCTCATTTGAGTAAGGTGGGAAGGATTTTTTCTTATGTATTAAATGATAAAGCTACCCATTTCATTATGGAGCGGAGTATGAGGTCAATTGCTTTTTTTTATTGTAGTTAAAATTAACGTAGATATATAGGACCGAACCTAACCAATCCTACCTAACCTAACCTAACCTATCTTTATAGGTTAGGTTAGCGGTTAGGTAGGTTAGGTAGTCGAAAAACAATTAATTCATGAAAACTTGGCTTATTAGGCAAATCGGGCCTTGCATAGTAGGCTGAGAAGTGAGTTCTGGCTACTAGGTACGACTGATGTGGCTGAGAGCACGGTCGATATATACCTGTCAGGGCAGTCGCTGTTGGCATTTAGGCACATATATATGATATATATATATATATATATATATATATATATATATATATATATATATATATATATTTTTTTTTTTTTTAGGGGTACCACCACTGGTTTAATTAAAGGGACCCACATCCTCGAAGTAGAAAATAAATAGTGTTCAGAGAAGACCTTGTGGATTCTCACTGAATACTTTAATCTTTATATATATATTCAATTTCAGATTCTTAATAAATTAATTCATTTATATTTAGGAAAAAATTTATTTAATATAAATAGATAATTAATATCAATATATATAGATTTATAGTCCCCGTGGCGAAGTGGTAACACACTCGCCTGGCGTTTCGAGAGCGCCTTGTCCTGGGTTCGTATCCTGGCAGGGGAGGATATTTACTGGGCGCAAATCTCTTTTAACTGTAGCCTCTGTTTACCCAACAGTGAAATTGGTACCTGGCCAGGATACGAACCCAGGACAAAGCGCTCGCGAAACTCCAGGCGAGTGTGGTACAGGATTACCACGGGGACTATTACTACGCCTCCCTCCACAGACTTCCAGAACTATATGTTTAACACATCTCTAACCCTGTCCATGGAGGACAGAATAAAAGGTATATATTTATTTATTTATTTATTTATTTATTTATTTATATACAAGAAGGTACATTGGGTTTGTGAGAATACATATCATAGTATTTACAATCTTGTAAAGCCACTAGTACGCGCAGCGTTTCGGGCAGAAACGCTGCCCGAAAGCGTTTATATCATGACCATTTGGTCACCATATGGTCCGGGAGACATCTCCCGTCACGCAGGGTGCAGTTGCGCCTCCACAGATCTCCAGTATCATCTTTTGATACTGGTAATGGCTCAAAAGGGCCACCACTTACGGGCTATTCATGCCCGTGCCACCTTTTGGGTGGCTTAATCTTCATCAATCAATCAATTTTTTTTTTTTTTTTTTTTTTTTTTTTGAGATATATACAAGAGTTGTTACATTCTTGTACAGCCACTAGTACGCGTAGCGTTTCGGGCAAGTCCTTAATCCTATGGTCCCTGGAATACGATCCCCTGCCGCGAAGAATCGTTTTTTCATCCAAGTACACATTTTACTGTTGCGTTAAAAATCGTTTATATCATCTTTCTAATTCTTGTTGAATGTCTCAATTTATGTCTAAAATGTACTTTTTTATTTAGATTGCTTTTCACTTGTTTAGTCTGGCCAGTACTTAAGTGATTTGTGTAAGTTGTTGCCAATTAGGTTTGTGATTCTGATAATGACAATGTTTACTTTCTATTTTATTATTGTAAATCCTATGTAATTAATGTTCTGTCCTTATGTAAACTTTCCTAGTTATATATGTACTACCATTTATGGATAAAGTTTTTGACTGCGTAGGGTGAGTTACTGGGAAAAAAGTAATGGAATTAAAACTCACATCATTAGAAGATCTTAAAGAATTACGGGTCACCACTTACAAAATTTTGAGGGAGAATTGACAGAGCAAACATGGTCAGATTATTTGGTATAAGTGGTACTTGAACAAGAGACTCGGGTGGAAACTGACTACACCAATGAGCCAAGGGCATTAGAAACTATTTACAGCGAGATGTGAACAAACAGAATGCATTAAAAGTGGTGAATCGGTGGGGGCAGAACTGATATAAGTGTTATAAGTAAATATAATAGAATTCAGTGGGCTCTGATATCTTTACACCAATGTATTGATGGGGAAGAGGCGTGACCAAAGAGCCAAATCTCCCCCTCTCCCCCAACAAAACACAATTAGGAGAGTACACACCAAAGCACACACATACACACACCTGAATGCACCTGGTAATACCTGTTTGAACTTTCTCGCAAGGTGTTGAAGAAATTTCAGCATTAAGACGGAGCCAATCCTGTATTCGCTCGTGTGTACCTCTTCTTTGTTCAGTGAGGTTCATGTATGTAAGATCATCTTGGCTAACACTGGTGGCTGTGTGACTCATCTCCCCTGTGTGTGTGTGTGTGTGTGTGTGTGTGTGTGTGTGTGTGTGTGTGTGTGTGTGTGTGTGTGTGTGTGTGTGTGTGTGTGTGTGTGTTTCACCTAAATATGCTACTCAAATGAGCATTCAAGGTCAAGTGCAGTTCAAGAGTCCTGCCTTCTAATTGTCGGTTTAATAATATAACTATTTCCGACCCGCCTGTTTCCCCACTGTATTGGTTTCCTAATTCTTCCCCTCGTCCATTTGCTAGCTGCCCTTGTTGAGCTCTGGCTCTTTGGCCCCGCCACTCAACCGTCAATCGACTGGTGTACAGGTTCCTGAGCCTACTGGGCTCTATCATATCTACATTTGACACTGTGTATGGAGTCAACCTCCACATCACCTCCTTATGCATTCCATTTGTTAACTTCTCTGACACAGAAAAAGTACTTTCTAAAGTCTCTGTGGCACATTTCATTCTCTGTTACCCAAACCTACTCAGACATGAAATACTTAAAGGTGATGACTTAGACTTGAAATACTTAGAGTGATGTGTGTGTGGAAGCGGGGGGAGGGGGGGGGGGGAAGGGGAGCAAAGTGTGTATGTGCATGCGTGTGCGCGAACGTGTGTAAACGGGCTTGCATCCGTGTGTGAGTGTGTACGTGCGTGACTGAACACGCACACACCAGCGGTCCTGCGGACCAGGAAGACATTGTAGCACCGTTTTCTGTGGGCGCTCTACCTCACACCAAATAAAACATTCGTCGCGTCTCTAGACCATCGCGCAATATTTCCCATTGTCACATATTGTTTGTGATATATATTGCTTTATATACTGATATATAATAATTATTTGTATTTCAATCTTGTGCTGTATAATATAATCAGAGATTTGAATCAGTTGTCAATATATTGAGTTATATAATGTGACTCGTCCCAGAATTGTGAGCGATTGGATTTCGGAGAGAGACAGAAAGAACTAGACCTGACGACACTAGAAAAGTTGAGAGAGGGAAAACTTGATAGTGACATAAAATACTTAGGGGGACTGAGAGAGTGAAAAAATAAGAACTGTTAACAATAAATATAAAATAGAACAAGAGGGCGTGAATGCAAGCTTGAGAATTAGGGAAGTCATAGAGGTGTTAGAAAGTTGTTTACATGTAAGAGTAGTGGGGAAATAGATTGAACTAAAGGAGCAGGCGGGAGAAGCGAATTGCATTCATAATTTTAAAAGTAAATATGATAGGTAAATTAGTCATGAATCATTGCATTAAACAATACCTGGTTAGAAAAACGGGGTCCCAAGAGCTAAAGCTCGATTCTGCAGTCATAAATATTTGTGTAAAAATAAGTACTCACAAAATACAACTAAAAATTTTTTTTTAAGGTTACACATTATTCAAAAATAGTAAATTTTAACTTTATTTAGCATAAATAACAAAGTTAAATAAAGGTATATACAATAATAAATTAATTCATAAATTAGCAAATATGCACATAAATAATTACCAATAATAACAACAATAACTTAACAACTTAACAGATATAAATAACAATACATTAAGCGATAACAGTTATAACCTCAGACCAGCTTAGGATAACTGAAATGAAGGGAAAATATATTGGCTGTTTGACATGCTGTAATTCCAAAGGGAATATAAGTCCGTGTCAATAATGTTAGGGAAGATGATACAGGCTTCAGCCCAAGTATTCAAAGCCTTCTTAACATAATTTCTTAGTTTAACATTTCTAGGCACTCAGGGGGTCCTTAGAAATTAGTCACAAGAAGATAGGTCCTCTATGCAAACTGGCTCATTTCGTTTTCATTTGTTAAGGTCACTTCAATACAGTACTGACCAACCAGATATTATACTTTAGTTTTGGAAATTGTTCAGTCCTAAGTAAACTCTTGTGTGTATACACTGTAAAGTGGGGTATACTTCTTTGTATATATATACACTGAGATGTGGGGTCTATGTGTATATATTCCCCTTTGTGAATCGTATCTTTGAAGATAGACAGCCAAGATTGCGATATGGACTAACTTCTTGTATCTACACAAGTATATCCTATCATAATAACAAGAATATTTATGAACTAAAAATTATCCATAGAAATATTTAATTTTTCCAATGAAAGTCCGTTAACATAATGGACTTTCTGCATATATATTATATATATAAAGCCAGCACATGCAAAAGGCAAGAAGCATTTTAATTGGCTTTCACCAACACATATACACATTTCCCTTTCCTTAACTGGGATATCTTTAAACGGCAAACAAGCACTCACGTAAGCAAGCAAGCAAGGCGTTATCTAACATAAGACACTCAAGATCTCATATAAAACATAGCACGACTTACCACATATGTTTGAAATAGTTCTTCTAAGGTACCCTAAAGATAGAAATTAGTGTCTTAGCAACATCTTTAGAGTTTAAGCATCTTACATTGAGGTTGTGGCGAACATGACCTATTGACGACGATCTGCAGAATTACTAAGATATACGTGGTACAGTTAATATGTAGATAATGTTCAGTAATATGAAGCGGAGCCTTACCGACAAAAGTTCTGCTCTCGGCTATGCAGATCTCTTCATTTAATATTTGGGTAAGAGCATTTATAATGAGCGGAACTACTACTGTTATTACAACTCTAATACTAATTAATTACAGTAGTAATTAATTACTACTGTAATTAACTCTAATTGTCATAGAGATAATTACATTATCTCTATGACAAGTTATTTTAGTATAACTATTTCTACTGCTGCTGTTATGACTACTGTTTCTCTAATTATTACCATAAATTGTACTACTACTACTACCACAACTACTCTAACCACAGCCGTTGCTACCACCACTACTAGCTGAAATTTGAATAGATTAGAAGACATGATTTGTACCAACTTATACTATTTAACATACTTATTTCTAGTACTAACATTTAACTACCATCACTGAAGCTAATACCAATGCTATTACATCAACTAGTATATCTACCACCACCTCATTTACAAATACTTATTAAATAAATAATAAAAATAGATTATCCTTACTACATCATTGCTATTACTGCTGCTATTGCGTCAAGCACTAGTACAAACCACAAGGGCATTGTACAGGGAACTAGCAATAAGGAAATACATCTAATAAGTCACATTTTGGCGGCATCGATCAATCTGTTAAAATTGCTAAGTTTTAGTCGAACTTACAGCTCTATATTTCCGACGTTTTCTTTGCATCCGCTTTGATAGGTTGGATGAGTTGCTCGAGCTGGTATGTTTCTGGTTAGGTAAAGCAGTTGTGAATTTTACGGAGTGGCAAATCGTGAGAACGGGCTTAATTATCGTCGGTTAAATTCTTGCTAGGTTATTTCCAGATTCTTGTCAGAATCTTACCAGATTCTTGCCAGGTTATGTTCAGATCCTTCCCAGATGCTTTCCATATTCTTGCTTACTCTTTGTCAGATTCTTGCCTATTCCTGTCGGATTCTTGTTAGGTCCTTGTAAAATTCTTCAAGGATTCTTGTTAGATTCTTGCCAGATTCGATTGAGAAAATGGCGATGATTCCTATTGGAGGAATATGTTTATTGCTATTTATTTTGAAGTTTAATTTCCTAGTCTTCTCATGTGTGAATGGCTCATACTTTGCTATAGTAAACATACATACGTTCATACAGGAAGCATACATATATGTAGCCATATATGATATACAGTATGTCAGTTAGCGGTAGCCTCTGCATACATACACAATGTAATAATCAATTATATAAATATAGGAACGTATACATATGTTCTAACGGTTATACACGAATGTTCTTACTTTAATACATGTACTTGTACAGCCATACACACTTTGCATATGGTAATACATAAATTATTTACATGACAAGATCGTGCTGGATACATCATTCTCTTTGGCATATGCAAATACACATTTGTATACAGAGAGGTATACAGACACACACACACACCGTTAAAGCCCGCAGTGGGCGACGTGATTCTCAACAGCTAAAACAGCTTGACGTCCTCAGTACTTGTTATACATGATGCTATGTCGCTCCGGGCATTGCCGACACAGTACCGCTCCTGTGCCAGGTAAGTCCACTACGAGCTTACTATAGCCCTTGCTACTTGCCCCGCTCCTGTGCCAGGTAAGTTACGGGCTCACCATAGCCCGTGCTACTTGGAACTTATTCCGAGGAGCTGAATATATAACAACAGGGGGATTGCCGCCTGTAGGAAAGTTGTTGTCACTTGAATTTCCCACGCTCTCTTAACTCTGGCGCTTTTTATGTCTTCCCTACCCAGGCGTGCCCACAGGCACGGGCACGCCCACTGGAGAGCCCATGTGAACGCACACAGGAGAGGAAATGCGCCCTCGATCTCATCCACTCACTGCATGCGGTTCTTCTGAGTGCATAAATTCCAATATTCAGCTTACAAGCGGCCAATGATTGAATTTCTTTTATAAAAGGGACTGAGCTGTAAGCATTCAGGTTTAATTAACAAGATCACAAACAAATCGTATTTACAAGCAACCACACAATTGATTTACTAACGCATTTGATTTATAGCGCGGATGTGTATTTCTATACCAGTTACAAATATCCATTCGTATTTAAAAAAAAAATACTTTGAATAAACCAGTCTCAAAACGTTATTTTGCTGTTGTTCTGTACAATATAATAAATATATAATGCAATGTGCTACAGGGGAGAAACCATGGCAACCGCATATTAATATTAAGCTCAGCACAAAAGCATTATTAAATGAAGGAAAGTCCCTATAATTCTCTAAGTCAGTGACAAAAGCATAAACTTTCCATATTTTCAGTTCCATCACCATCTATAACTAACATTAAATTATACCATTAAATACATAAATAATTACCACTACCTATGGCATCGACTTATTTAACAATATATAAGTTTTATTATGTAAATCTACATCATTCTCCAAGTTAAAATCTGTAAAAATACACTAAATTATTTGCTTAGCTGACATCTATTAGAGGCGGAACCCTTTCCTCGACAGCGATGAATACAAGCGCGTTCCAGCACGTTTAGGATTCATCATTCACTTATTCACTAATATTATTCATGCCAAATACTTCAGCATATGTAAAAAATATTATTTGCATTTGAAATGTAATGATTTTTTCTCCTGGATTAAACTAAATGGGTTTTATTCCTTATTTCTTTTGGATCTTTCGCCACATGACCGGGACTAATCCACCGACGGAGTGGTTTTGAAGCGCCTCCTGGGTTTATTGGGGAGAATTTGGGCGTGAGGAAAGAGCCTCTTGATCAACTGGGCTCGGGGGTCCTTGTGGAGGAACTCCTTCTCATCCTCCTGGTCGTCAATGTTGCTCTCGACGAGGAGGATTTCAGAGAGATTTGGATTCTTTGGAGTCCTTCCGCCGTCACTGGGATCACTTGGGGTTGTTGATTGTGTCGAGTCTGCTTCCTCCGTCGGGTTTGCGTTGTCCTCCGTTTGGCTTAGTGACGGAGGGGATGAGAGCGGCGCTGACTCCCCCGCGAGGTCATCAAAGGATTCAGCACTTGCCACCTGGTCCACCTTGGGTTGATGCTTGCCAGGATACGAGCGCTGAGTGGCGTCTTCGTTTTCCAGGTCAGTTTGCCCCATAGGCGTTAATGTATGGGCATCTATAGCATCATTTTCTTGTTCAACTTCTGCTGCAGGAGGAAAAGGAAGTTCTTGTATGAGAGGACGAAGTTCCGGTGACTTTTCTTGGACTTCCAGAGGACCGGCGTTGGTCATGAGGCTGTTCGGTGACGTCGGTGTTTCGGTCTCAATCACAGTGGAGGTCGATTTGCTGTCCCCTTCTGGAGTAATTTTCTTCACATCTAGAGTGCTGTCCGTTTGTGGTGGCTTTTCCTCTGCGGTCTCTACTTGGTCGGGGAAAACGGGCTCCAAATCGGCGTGTTGGTTGTCCCTGTTGAAGCCTTGCAGTTGGTAATAATGATTTTGAGCGACTTCGGCGTGAGGAAAGTAGGTCTCGAGGTCTTTTGTGCCGTTCTGTTTGCTTCCTTCGATGACTGCGGTCACAGAGCCCAGTGGCGCCTTATGGAACAACTGCGAATTTGCAAAGGACTCCTGAACTGCCTGAACCTGTGAAAGGACTCCTTGAATATCTGAAGGACGAGTGTCATCCGGCTGTTGACTAAGGGTCGGCTGCGGTGCGTTAGGAAACTTCTCCAGTATTTCGGCAAACGGGTGAATTTGCTGTATGACTTCGATGTCAGACGGGGTGGAATCCTCGGGGAGGGGCTTTTGGCTCGAGCCCTGACCGTTTTGGTGCAGTAGCTGTCCGTAGAGCTCAGCTTGGGCCACGCACGACTGCACGTCGCCCCCAAGGACAAGACAAGCATGAAGAACTGAATAGCTCGGAGCAACGGTCGGATACGGCGGATCCGATGACTGGAATGTTGATGAATCCTCGGGGAATTCCAGCCAGGAGATGGGGAGGGCACTGTTCTCGGTGGTGGGCCTAGGCAGCGGCACTGGTGGCAGGTGAGGCAGGTTCGACAGACCTGACGGCTCGGTCGAACTCCTGGAATAGGTGACCACGGGGTTAGTAATGGATGGAATAACGTGTTTGAGAAAATGATGTGTAGAACTATATCATACTGAATATATTTCTCTCTCTCTCTCTCTCTCTCTCTCTCTCTCTCTCTCTCTCTCTCTCTCTCTCTCTCTCTCTCTCTCTCTCTCTCTCTCTCTCTCTCTCTCTCTCTCTCTCTCTCTCTCTCTCTCTCTCTCTCTCTCTCTCTTTTTCAATGATCTGTTCTTGATCTCTTACGAACAGATCAATTTTAATATATCTTTTATATTCACTTACACTTGAACCAATCCTAGCATAGAACATAGAACAGTGAGTCAACAAAAATCCAGTTTCCAGCACCGACTTTCTCGTCAGGTCAAGGACTCGTTCCAGGCACTCATTTCCTTTAATTATACTTACGTATCAGTGTTTGTGGAAGTGAGGTGTGGCTCTTGGACCCCGATTCCTAATTATTATTACCACTTTGTATGATGGCATTACCAGCTGTGGTGAGCTGACTGTAGCAGCTGACTGTATTAACTGACTGTAGGAACCAACTGTAGTAAGTTGACTGTAGCAGTTCAACTTACAGTCCAACTTATTGAACAGTTCGGTACACTGTTGTATGATCCCCCCCCCACCCCCCTCACAGCAGTTGAAGTTCCCTACGCGGCTGGTGAAAGGCTATATTAACTTGTTGATTTCAGGTTCATAAACTGCATTTTATTTTATCGCCATTTTTTGTGAAGATGGAGGAAGGGAAAATAGCATGAAAATAGCGAGGTTGTGAGTGTGGATAATTTACTAGATTATACTACCGAGACACGGCATGACATTCAGGTCGTGTGAAGCCAGGGCGCTGACTCGGGAAGATCTTTTGTTGTGTTAATAACCCTTCGCTGTTGCAAACGCCTGCTGCGATTTTTTCCCAGTTGATATGTTAGCTAGTTTGTCGTGCGCCACTCGATGTAGTACTCTTGAATAGTTGCGCAGTTTACGGGTTAGCTGACCAAAAGTGCTTCTCTCTTCAATATTCTCAACTCATTTTGATGGCTCTACGGGAGTGATCATAGCTCGCGTCTACTGTTTAGGTTCCCCAAAGTGGTAACCGGCTCTGTAGAGTGGGTTATCAAATCAATCGTTTAATAGTCACTTGCAACAAGCTATCCTCAAACTGGAATAACGTATTAATAGCACATTTTGTTTAGGTTGTGTGAAGGGCGAGCCTTGGCGTGACCGGTCGTTTGTAGATATGCAGGTCTTGTATTTATTGCAAGTCTACCATCTAAATCAGGCATTGCATTTGAATGATTATCAATTTGTCTTTGATGACCAGACCACACACTAGAAGGTGAAGGGACGATCGACGACGTTTCGGTCTGTCCTGGACCATTCTCAAGTCACAATCGACTTGAGAATGGTCCAGGACGGACCGAAACGTCATCGTCCCTTCACCTTCTAGTGTGTGGTCTGGTCATCATACTTTAGCCACGTTATTGTGACTCATCGCCTGCAATTTGTCTTTGTATCAGTAATATTTCTCATAATGAAACCACAGGTTCATACGCTGATTCTCTCACCATGGATGAGAGAATCTCACCATTCTCATCCCCATGGATGATATTTTTACACGTCCAGCTTGTTCTTTCCTATTCTTAACTCGGTTCTCCATCGTTCTCCAGAGTGGCGTAGATCACAGCTACGTCCACTCCTTACACCGAAATGATTCCCACGGTAAAGTCCTTGTAGGTGTTTCCATCCTTGAAGGAAATGTCTTCAAACGTCCAGTTTCTTTTGACCAGCCATGACCCTTCAATAATGATTAGTTTCTTGACCACGAATTTCGGTAACTTGATTGTTCTTGTTAATCCCGAGAGTAAAAATAGTTGGAAGCAAAGAAAGCTTATACTATGAGATCGAGATCAACAGCGCCAGCAATGTGGTCATATTTAACCATATATATATATATATTGTATATATATAATTATATGCGGAAAATCCACAGAGAAATATGAAATGAGGTGAACGTTTCGGCTTTGTTAAAGCCTTTGTCAACACCAGACTCATATCAGTCTGGTGTTGACAAAGGCTTTAACAAAGCCGAAACGTTCACCTCATTTCATATTTCTCTGTGGATTTTCCGCATAAAATGATCAGTGTTTTGTGATCGTCAATTGCATATAATTATATATATATATTATATATATAATTATATATATATATAATTATATATATTATATATATTATATATATTATATATATTATATATATATATATATTATATATATATATATATATATATTATATATATATATATATATATATATATATATATATATATATATATATATATATATATATATATATATATATATATAATGAACATGTATATATGATGAAGTGTGACTTACCTTTGAACAGCATGCGTGTCAGTATGAGGTCCACGCTCTAGTGTGAGGAAGGGAAGTACAAATGAGGTGATTAATATAACTACAGTAATTACGAGTGCTTCTACGTTTGGAGGCTGTACCATAGCGAGCGCTACAGCTCCTGTGGTACAGGAGGCATATTACAAAAGGTTCACAGTGAGTGCTTCAACTACCTGCCGCCTCTGCTACAGAGGCGCTACCAGCGTGTGGTGCAATAGTTATTAATAATAACAGTGGTGACGATAACTACAATTCCACAAAGGGCCGTGACGGGGATTCGAACCGACGTCCGAGACCATCCCAGACGCTGCTGCCTTAGTCGACTGAGCTGCGACAGGATGGAGTCTTGTCGCGGCTCATGAGCTCGTAAGAACATGTCGATATCTACGTTAATAAGTGTTTTATATTTTCTATAATAATTGCTGTCTTGACTCTTAGAATCGCCAAAGTAAATCATATTAATGGGCTTATTATTATTTATTAATATATGTATATGTTATTATTGTTTAACTGAATATAAGTTCTCTTTACTATAAAATCAGTAATAAAAATTATCACCTTATTATCATCACCACTATTAATATTATATGACTATCTAATTTTAATTGTGTAAATTTAAATGACTATAATTTAATTTAACTTTGTATTTATAAATTATTTAATGATTTAATTATATATGTAATTATTTAATTATATAATATTGAACTTTAATTATATAATATTTAATTATACTATTATGTAACTATTTAATTAGAGATCTGATTATTAACATTATGAATGGTACTTTATTTATATTGTTATTTTTATTAATATTAAGTAACATTAGTATTGGTATTAGTGTTAGTAGTTAATTATCACCACTACTATTATTACTATTACCACTACCACCATTATCACTACTAGTAACTCTACAACTAGTACTACTAGTATTACTACTATAGCTAATACTATTACTTCAGGTATTACTATTACTGCTACAACTACTACAACTACCACTACCACCACTACTACCACCACTACTACCACCACTACTACCACCTCTACTACCACCACTACTACCACCTCTACTACCACCACCACCTCTACTACTACCACCACCACCACCTCTACTACTACTACCACCACCACTACCACCACTACCACCACTACCACCACCACTACCACCACCACTACCACCACCACCACCACCTCTACTACTACTACCACCACCACAACAACCACCACCACCACCACCACTACCACCACCACTACCACCACCACTACCACCACCACTACTACCACCACCACCACCACCTCTACTACTACTACCACCACCACCACCACTACTACCACCACCACTACCACCACCACTACCACCACCACCACCACCACCACCACCACCACCACCACCACAACAACCACCACCACCACCACCTCTACTACTACTACCACCACCACCATCACCTCTACAACTATTGTCATATCTCATGCAATTCAAAACAAAGAAACAAATTAGTAAAGTAAAATGAACCAAAGATATATATATATATATATATATATATATATATATAATATATATATATATATATATATATATATATGTATGTGTGTGTGTGTGTGTGGTGTTAACGTGTGACCTGATACCCATTCACTATCTACAGTACTCTGTTAACCCACAATCCATTGCCTTTCTACACTCTATTGACTATCTACACACCCATTTGCCAGGGGGGCCTGACAGCTGAGTGTACAGCGCTTCGGATTTGTAGTTCTGAGATTCTGGGTTCGATTCCCGGTGGAGGCGGAAACAAATGGGCAAAGTTTCTTTCACCCTGATGGCCCCTGTTATCTAGCAGTAAATAGGTACCTGGGAGTTAGACAGCTTAGACAGTTAGGATTGGGTTATGTCAATTTTCAGTACCAACTGTGTCACTTTTCAGTACCAACTGTGTCACCTTCCAGTACCAACTGTGTCACCTTCCAGTACCTACTGTGTCACCTTCCAGTACCAACTGTGTCACCTTCCAGTACCAACTGTGTCACCTTCCAGTACCAACTGTGTCACCTTCCAGTACCAACTGTGTCACCTTCCAGTACCAACTGTGTCACCTTCCAGTACCTACTGTGTCACCTTCCAGTACCAACTGTGTCACCTTCCAGTACCAACTGTGTCACCTTCCAGTACCAACTGTGTCACCTTCCAGTACCTACTGTGTCACCTTCCAGTACCAACTGTGTCACCTTCCAGTACCAACTGTGTCACCTTCCAGTACCTACTGTGTCACCTTCCAGTACCAACTGTGTCACCTTCCAGTACCAACTGTGTCACCTTCCAGTACCAACTGTGTCACCTTCCAGTACCAACTGTGTCACCTTCCAGTACCAACTGTGTCACCTTCCAGTACCTACTGTGTCACCTTCCAGTACCTACTGTGTCACCTTCCAGTACCTACAGTGTCAGCTTCCAGTACCTACTGTGTCACCTTCCAGTACCAACTGTGTCACCTTCCAGTACCAACTGTGTCACCTTCCAGTACCAACTGTGTCACCTTCCAGTATCTACTGTGTCACCTTCCAGTACCTTACGTGTTTCTACCTCTTTTAGCTCTTGTAGTTATATAATCGCTCTTTAAGAGACAGCGAAGCCCTGGCTTCCTCTTTGAGAACTTGGTGAACTTTGGCCGGCTTGTGTTACTTTGGGTTAGGTTAGGTTAGGTTAGGTTAGGCCAAGTTAGAATTAGGTTTGGATTTTTTTTGTTACAATTTGGATAGGCTATGTTAGGAATAGGTTAGAAATCGGTTAGGTTAGATTAGAATTCGGATATGTTAGGATTAAATTATGCTAGGATTGGGTTATGTTATAATTAGGCTATACTTAAGTTAGATTAGGTTTGGCTAGATTAGGATTTAGCCTTGGGTTAGGTTAGGATTACGTTAGATAAGGTTAGGCAAAGTTTCCTTAGAGCTGGCTACATTACTTGAAATTTAGTAAGATTTGCATGCCAAAATCGAGCTTAGAAATCATTAAACAAATTAGAGGAGAAACCTTATTAACTGTAAAATAAAGAGAAACCAACAATCATAAATTTAAAACGAGTTAAAAAATTAAACAATTAAATAGTTAATCCATTAGTCTTGTCTCATATATATATATATATATATATATATATATATATATATATATATATATATATATATATATATATATATATATATACACTAAGCAAGGCTTAGTGTATATATCTATATAGGTGTTACACTAAGCAAGGCTCGCATATATATATGCGAGCCTTGCTTAGTGTAACACAGAACTAAGATACTCTTGATAATCTGCAAGATATTAGGGGTGACCTTAATAATCCTTCAGAGACCAATAAGATCTTCAACACCCAACGAAGCAGTGCATTTACTGCACATATTTGTGCTAATGTGCATGACTTTACAGGAAAATAATTGTTGGTTTCATGATGAATGTGTTTTATAGTCGTGTTTGTTATATGTATCTTTGTAATTATATGCGTGATTATACGCTTGAGAACCAGAGAGTAAGAATTAGTTTTCTAAGATGACTATACATATGTATACGCTTTCACTCACAGGCAAGATAGACGCATTTGTATAAATACATTAGCGTGCATGAAAGGTCACCTTCCAGCCCGTCCTCCTAAGGATTCCCAGCGTCAAGAAACTGTCGTACTAAGCTGTCCTCTACTAACCTTTCTAGTAGACCGAAAACAAAAAAGGGGATACTGTCAATTTTGCGAGCAGCTACCATTTTCTAGTACGACAATTTTTGGCCTTGGGTAGAGTATACGTCAGAATGCGACGCTCTGTTAGGAGGACAGGTTGAACACATACATTCCACACTGCTTACATCCCGTCTCTGTACTTACTCAGGTAGAATGGAAGACAGGACATCCCACACTGCCCCGTGCACTGCGACCACGCCACCACTCGGCTCAGAGGGCCTGATGGACGGTAAGTTTGATGTTGTAGGTAATGTTGTTTCTCCGGTAGATTCCTGGTCAGTAGTCAACGTAGTGGGGTCTGTGGGTTCAGTAGAGTCCCCTGGTGTTGGTGTTGTCTCCTCCCCTTCTCCAGCAGCCGTCATGGTCGAGGCATCGGAGCCTTCTCCAGTTGAGGGTAAGGTGGACATGCCATCCGATGACACTGTTGATTCGTCGCCACTTGCTACCGTGGGGCCCATCGCTCCTCCTCCAGCCGTTGGTTCTGTAGGACTCGTCGTATCTGCTTCCCCTGCGACAGACGGTGGTAATGTGTTTTCCGTCGTGTCCCCGTCGCTCGTGGGGTCCGCTGTACCCCCTTCAGTCGTGGGGTCCGCTGTACCCCCTTCAGTCGTGGGGTCCGTTGTACCCCCTTCGCTCGTGGGGTCCGTCGCGTCTGTCACGTCCGTTGGGTCTGTCGCGTCTGTCACGTCCGTTGGGTCCGTCGTGTCTACTTCATCTGAAGGGATTGTCGTGAACTCCTCCAGGTCGTTAAATTCGCCATCTCCAGCGACCGGAAGCACTAAGAGGAGGAGAAACATGTTTTAGTGGCGGGGTCTCAAACTGGAATATAAATGGTGCTGCGCCTGCGAAACGTTTATATACTGATTTGATGATGTCGTTACCTACGTTTAAAGTTTTCCGATAAACACCAACGCTGGAAATTATGAACGCTCATTATGTCAAAGAGCACAATAGTTGGCGCAGTCCTTTCACAACCTAATGGCAGTGCATATTTTAGGATTGGTGTGATGCACGTGGTATATAAGGTCTTTGTTCAGATTTCTAAAAGCAGTACTTATGTTGGTCAAATCAGCATACGACACTGATGATATCCGTTAGCTTTTTTTTTTTTTTTTTTTTTTTTTGAGATATATACAAGAGTTGTTACATTCTTGTACAGCCACTAGTACGCGTAGCGTTTCGGGCAGGTCCCTGGAATACGATCCCCTGCCGCGAAGAATCGTTTTTTCATCCAAGTACACATTTTACTGTTGCGTTAAACAGAGGCTACAGTTAAGGAATTGCGCCCAGTAAATCCTCCCCGGCCAGGATACGAACCCATGACATAGCGCTCGCGGAACGCCAGGCGAGTGTCTTACCACTACACCACGGAGACTGCTTACCATGGAGCTGTGGAGTTCCGGAGGCAGGTTAATAGTGTGGTTTAAACCCAGAGGTTTTTCTCTGCCAGTTTGAGCTATCTCATCTCCCATTTGGTACCTTGCGTCTGGCCTACTATTTCTGGCATCGTTTCATTAGTTTACACTTGCCTAAGTTTAACTCTAGAAGCCATTTGTTGGACCAGTCTTTTAATTTGCCCATCTTATACTTTTCTATTTTCCTACAAGTTAATCTCTCTAGAAGTTTGTGTGTGCGTGCGCGCGTGTGTGTACATATTTACTGTTCGTGCCTACAGGATCAAGCTATTAGCTCTTGGATCTCGCCTAACCGTCGGTTGTCTAATGTACTGACTTCCGACCTAATTTTCTCTATCATATCTACTAGATATATTGCTCTGTTAACACACCATACATCCTCAGAATGTAGCCCGTAGCAGCTGTCTAACTCCCAAGTACCTATTTACAGCTAGGTAAACATGGATATCACGTGAAAGATTATGACCATTTGTTTCTGCTTGGCTGGGAATCGAACCCGGGCTCTTAGGACTACGACTTCCAAGCACTGTCCACTCGGCCGCGAGGACGTGTGTGTGTGTGTGAATGTGTGTGTGTGTGTGTGTGTGTGTGTGTGTGTGTGTGTGTGTGTGTGTGTGTGTGTGTGTGTGTGTGTGTGTGTGTGTGTGTGTGTGTGTGTGTGTCCGTGTCCTACATCCCTCAAATCCCTGCAATCCTGATCCGCCAGTATAGAAACTCGCCAACATTCGCTCACACAAGAAGTGTGTTAAAGATGTGGGAATAATATTGTCTCTTGTGATACGCCCCTGTGTTTGTCACACATTATTTTACATTAACGTTTGAAGCTCTTTAAAACAAAATCTTAAAATACCAGTCTGATTTGATGTAAGAGCGTCGGCCTGATGCATATTAAACGCTTACACAAGACTAGTTTGGAAATAGCCGCACTTTTAAATCATTTTTGTATTTGGGTTATATTTTTGTGGCGGATTTCCAAATTTTAAATTGTTTTCTGCTCATATTTTGGTCAATATGGTATTCGTATATAGATGAGTTGGGTGTTTTGAATTATTGTCATGTTGACATTGAAAGTTATAGTTGTGGCTTATGTACATAAAACTGAAGATCTACCCAAAATATTCAACATGCTTATACCAACCCGTTCTCGCACTTGCTTCTAGTCAATATTGGCTTATTTAATAAGTGCATATGTGACATACTAATTGATTGTGAATATTTTAGTTTACCTTGAAAAGTTTCATAGAAAACACCGACCTTACCTAACCTTCTTAGTATGTTAAGATAATCATCTTATTGCTTCTTAATTACAATTATTACTTAACCTATATCGTTGATAGGTTAAGTAATAATTGTAAATAAGAAGCAATAAGATGCTTATCTTAACATACTAAGAAGGTTAGGTGAGGTCGGGGTTTTCTATGAAGCTTTTCAAGGTAAAGTAAAATATTCACAATTAGTATGCCACATATGCACTTATTAGATAAGCCAATATTGACAATAGCAAGTGCGAGAACGGGTTGCTTATACACATATAATTTCGTCAAGTTAATCGCTATTTCTGTACACACACACAACCAGTTGTCACACAAATTAGATCTATCAAGGAGCACTCATTTGGGATTCCAGTATCAGAGTCGTCTCAATATATAAACAAATACATAACTGACCAGATACTTCGTCCGCTTTTTCTAACATAGAAGAGATGGGATCTTGATGTGATTCTGAGACTCAGTGATTCCTCGCAGCCCGGGCTCTTGACTAGGCTTCCCGGTTGACGGGCTCTGACTAGGCTTTCTGATTGACGGGCTCTGACTAGGCTTTCTGATTGACGGGCTCTGACTAGGCTTCCTGGTTGACGGGCTCTGACTAGACTTCCTGGTTGACGGGCTCTGACTAAGCTTCCTGGTTGACGGGCTCTGACTAGGCTTTCTGATTGACGGGCTCTGACTATACTTCCTGGTTGACGGGCTCTTGACTAGGCTTCCCGGTTGACGGGCTCTGACTAGGCTTTCTGATTGACGGGCTCTGACTAGACTTCCTGGTTGACGGGCTCTGACTAGGCTTCCTGGTTGACGGGCTCTTGACTAGGCTTCCCGGTTGACGGGCTCTGACTAGGCTTTCTGATTGACGGGCTCTGACTAGACTTCCTGGTTGACGGGCTCTGACTAGGCTTCCTGGTTGACGGGCTCTGACTAGGCTTCCTGGTTGACGGGCTCTGACTATACTTCCTGGTTGACGGGTTTTGACTATACTTCCTGGTTAACGGGCTGGTCAAACAAGCTATGTGTGGTTGGTCTTCCTACAAAATCCACAACGCTATCAAGAATAAGTCACTAGATTAGAGATGACATTCGTAACTTCCAGACATATACTCCTTGAACGAACGTAATTAATTCAACGCTCGTTTCACCAACTCTGGCACAAATTACGAACCTCGAATTGGCAACCGGTTTGCATCATATACACTCTTTAACAACTCAAAAAAACATCGTGTAAATGAATACTTAATAATACAATGATCAATGCATAATAAATTTCAAGCATGAACACTGCTTCAAACAAATGTTACACGTAAAAGTACAGTCTTAGATTTCTTAAATAACAAATAGAACTGTAATAACAATAAGAATTGCTTGTGCTGTTGAGCAAACTTGTCTGCCTCCTGGACTTACCTAGAGGGAAGATGGCGACGCTGCTGCCTATTGATCCTGACGACGATGATGACGATGACGATGACGACGACGATGATGATGAGGACGAGGAGCCGCCACCGGCACCGGTGTCGAAGAAGATGTTTGGATTAAAGAGGAATCCACTAAAGATCGCCCAGATGAACCATCCCTGAATATGAAGAGAAAGACTGATGCAAATGATCTCATTTTAACATATTTATACAAGATTTATGTTTGGATGAAGATTGCTACTAATTATTCGTATTTTATCTATTTTGCATTTATATTTAGATATAGATTTAACAACCTTGTATTTATATAAGGTTGTTAAATTTAGTTACTCTGTATTTATATAAGGTTGTTAAATCTAGTTACTCTTAACATCAACTAAGGTCAGAACCCAATATTTGTCAGAATTATACTGTATCTGGTGGTTGATGGTGGTTATAGCAGCAGTTACTGAAAGTTATGATAGAGATTGACGACGGCTTTGGCTGTGGTTGATGAAAGTTGAGTTAGAGATTGATAGTGGTGATGGGTGGCAGCTATGGTTGAAGTGATTTGTCGGGTTGTTGTTGTTGGTGGTTGAGGTGTGTTGTGATGATGGAAATGGTGGTATTAGTGACAGTTGGTAATGTAGGTGTAATAGTTGGTTAGCATTAACCAACGCTAGTTCTCTCTACTGTTGGTTAGTGGTTGATAACGGCTGCCATTGCGGTTAATAATGTGGTGTTGCTTTAAGCTGATGTAGAACGTGTAAGGTTGATTAGAAATAGTGAGAAACTTCGTTTGGATATGCAGGTGATGAGTCACAATAACGTGGCTAAAGTAAGTTGACCAGACCACACACACTAGAAGGTGAAGGGACGACGACGCTTCGGTCCGTCCTGGACCATTCTCAAGTCGATTGTCGACTTGAGACCGAAACGTCGTCGTCCCTTCACCTTGTAGTGTGTGTGGTCTGGTCAACTTCGTTTGGCTACCAATCGGAATGCTGTAACATCATGACACCATTTTCAAAGTGTTCGGATAACGGCGAAGCTGAACGAACTACTAAGATACTTTAAAGTTGACTACCTATGTACTCAAGAAGCTCAACAAGGGTTAAGAGGCTGCTTCAAGAGTCGCAGCTCAAACCTCTTGGAGCCCATCTAGGCGAGTACACTCTCCAGCTTCTTCAAGCGGAAGGCGATTTCTCCAAATAATTTACAGCACCAAGGGGTGTAAAGGCACCACAACCGTCGACAGCATCCACCCACCCACTTCCTCCTCCTCCTCCGTTATCTTGAGGTTATCTTGAGATGATTTCGGGGCTTTTTAGTGTCCCCGCGGCCCGGTCCTCGACCAGGCCTCCACCCCTAGGAGGGGTGGAGGCAGCAACCCGTGACAGCTGCCCGTGACAGCTGACTAACACCCAGGTACCTATTTTACTGCTAGGTAACAGGGGGCATAGGGTGAAAGAAACTCTGCCCATTGTTTCTCGCCGGCGCCCGGGATCGAACCCGGGACCATAGGATCACAAGTCCAGCGTGCTGTCCGCTCGGCCGACCGGCTCCGTAGCTGCAGTTCTTCTCTATCATACACTAATTCCTGAGCATCAAGCAAAACATTGAGAGGTACACTCCATTCCTCGGTGTATGTACACTGAAAGATTATTTTAGACTGTGTGCAGTAGGCTATAGTGGTGACCTGAATAACCCTTCAGCGGTTGATAGGCCTTAACCCAAACACCAAGCCTAACTAAGCCTGTTTTTCCTTAAATTTAGCTTAAATGTTCTTCCTAGTCACGTATCTGGGTCCATATATTTCTTCCGTTTTGAGTATTGATATCTATGTATTCGCATATCTTTGAGCGAATATGTAGAATTTCCTCGGTGTTGACTGCATAGTCTCGTGTCCCCCAGGCAGCAAAAATATCAGTCAGCATTTTTGTATGTTAGCTATGTTTCCTAGTCTCATGTCACTAATAACAATTGCCTCCTTAGACTTTAGAGACATACGATAAGGAATATGAACGTTCTGTAAGATCTCTATCCTCACACTGGCAAACTCAATAAGTGATTTTTATACACTTCCGCGCATACACTCTTCTGACGTGAATACATTTTTAGAAATACATTCTAACTTTGAGACACTGTTGTATTCTCTCTCTCTCTCTCTCTCTCTCTCTCTCTCTCTCTCTCTCTCTCTCTCTCTCTCTCTCTCTCTCTCTCTCTCTCTCTCTCTCTCTCTCTCTCTCTCTCTCTTTCCTGTCTCTCTCTGTCTCTCTGTCTCTCTCTCTCTCTCTCTCTCTCTCTCTCTCTCTCTCTCTCTCTCTCTCTCTCTCTCTCTCTCTCTCTCTCTCTCTCTCTCTCTCTCTCTCTCTCTCTCACTCACTCAGAGGTTTACCACCAGACAACACAAGTACCAGAGCTGAAAGGTATGAGCTACGCGAAGACATGAATTAAACTTCACGTCACTGGAAGATAGCATAGTCAGGGGAGTCATGATCACCGCCTACAAAATTATAGCGGACATAGACAAGGGCAGACCGTCGTGTGCGAGACATGAATAAGAACAAAAAAAAAACAAGAGAATTTTGACATGGGAATTTGTCCTATTTTGACATGGGAACAAAAAAGTTCTAACTAAATGACTCAAAGATTCATTATTTTATTAAAAGTGTCAGAATACCTAAGAAAATAGTGAAGTAGTGGTTATCTTGAGGTTATCTTGAGATGATTTCGGGGCTTTAGTGTCCCCGCGGCCCGGTCCTCGACCAGGCCTCCACCCCCAGGAAGCAGCCCGTGACAGCTGACTAACACCCAGGTACCTATTTACTGCTAGGTAACAGGGGCATAGGGTGAAAGAAACTCTGCCCATTGTTTCTCGCCGGCGCCCGGGATCGACCCCGGGACCACAAGATCACAAGTCCAGCGTGCTGTCCGCTCGGCCGACCGGCTCCCCTAGTGGACCAGACCCCGAACCCATCTTTAAATGCTATCATGACAGGACTTGATAGGTTTGGGAATCTGTACACCAATTGATTAAGAGTTGAGAGGCGGGGACCAAAGAGCTGAAGCTCAATCCCCGGCAGCACAGTTAGGTGAGTACAAACACAGACACACAAAAACATACCATCGCTTCACTCACAAACATTAAAACTGTCTTCTTTTTACTCCACAATAAAAGGCACGGAGCATAGGCACCAATGGGAAGCAGTTGCTTTAATAAGCCCCAGACAATTACCTTCGCTCTGATGGCTAACTAAATTACCGTATTAAAAAACAAGGCAGTCTCCAGGGAGGAGGGGACAGCTTCCTTCTGTCTGTCTTGTCTGTCTGTCAGTCTGTCTGTCTGTCTGTCTGTCTGTCTGTCTGACTCTGTCTGTCTGTCTGTCTGTCTGTCTGTCTGTCTGTCTGTCTGTCTGTGTCTGTCTGTCTGTCTGTCTGTCTGTCTGTCTGTCTGTCTGTCTGTCTGTCTGTCTGTCTTTCTGTCTGTCTATTTGTCTGTCTGTCTGTCTCTGTCTTTATCTATATTTGTCTTCTTCCCTCTACGTGTAACCAACCCCAACAACACAGTCTGTCTCCCACAACACTGTCTCCCTTGCTATACAACTTACTCCCCCCACACAACCTGTTCTCCAACAACACGCTTCCACTCAGCCCACATATCTCCCCGGGCTGGGAGAGCGCGTCACAAGGTGGTCGAGGAGAGCCCAAATTAAAGGTCGGGAAGCAGTCAGTGAACAAGCCGGAGCGGCCCTGGTAGACGACGACAGGTGGCCGCCGCGGCGTTAGTGGGTGAGCCTTGGATGACGGGGCCATCAGATGGGTGGTGGGTGGGGGTGTCTGGAGGGCGGGATGGGGGGAAAGAATTGTGGTAAGGGTCGTGAAGAGGGAGAGGGGTGGATTGAGAGAGAAACGGAAGGAATGACGGAAAGACGAGGAACGATAGGAGACACAGACGAAGCAAATGAAGGAGGAATGGAAGCAGACAAGGACCAATAACGTGACTGAAGTATGTTGACCAGACCACACACTAGAAGTTGAAGGGACGACGACGTTTCGGTCCGTCCTGGACCACAATCGACTTGAGAATGGTCCAGGACGGACCGAAACGTCGTCGTCCCTTCAACTTCTAGTGTGTGGTCTGGTCAACAGACAAGGACCCTTGCATAACAAACCAGTAAGCAACCCGGTATGAACACTCTTGACATTTGAGTATTTGGTGGAGGTAGGGATAACCTATCCAAGGATGGGATAGGAAAGGAAAAGCCTGAATTACCGAAGAGGAAAATGTGACGAGATGAGGAACTTCATAATGGGAATACCATGGGAAACAGAACTCAGAGAAAAGACTGTACAAGATATGATGGATTACGTCACCCAGTAGTCCCAGGAAGCTGCAGACAGGTTTATCCTGTTCCAAAAGGAGAACAATGAAAGAACAACAGAAGAATCCATGGTTCAATCAGGAATGTAAGGTAGCGAAGCAATTGAGTACAAGAACATGGAATAACTACAGGAATAAAAGAACACCAGAGAGCAGGGAGAGATACCAAAGGGCCAGGAATGAGTACCACAGAGTGAGGAGAGAAGCAAAGAGATCCAACCAAAACTGCTCCACAGCCACATTATGAGGAAAACAGCAGTGAGGAACAAGTAATGAAACTTAGAAAAGTGGAGAGAGATACACAGAGAATGACAAGGATGTGTGTGAAGAACTCAATAATAGATTCCAAGAGGTGTTCACAATAGAGCAAGAAGCCCCAATACTAAATGAGGAGGCAAACCAAGCAGCCTTGGAGGAATTTGAGCTCACCAGTGAGGCCAAAATGAATCTGTTGGAGCTAAATGTGACAAAAGCTGTTGGGCCTGACGGAATCTCACCGTGGATACTAAAGGAGGGTGCAGAAGCACTAAGTGTGCTGCTCTCTATGGTGTATAATAGATCACTGGAAACAGGAGACCTTCCGGAAAGCTGGAAGACAGCTAATGTAGTCCCAATATACAAAAAGGGTGGCAGGCAAGAGGCGCTGAGCTACAGGCCAGATTCCCTAACTTGTATACCATGCAAGGTGATGGAGAAGATCGCGAGGAAAAGGCTCATAGAACATATGGAGGGGAAGAGCTTTGTAACACACCGCCAGCATGGGTTTAGGGATGGTAAATCGAGCCTCACAGGCTC